CTCCTGTTCCAGTTATCACTAGTTACCACATTTTTAGGATGTGCCATTGATGATTCCTTACATGATGTGCCTCAATATGATGATTTTTAACATGTTCTTATCCAATAAAACAACAAAGATTTTTTTCAAAAAAAGAACTGGACTAATTCATTTTCACTAGCCAAGTTTTTTTTCTGTTTGTTTCATCTTAGACTCAGGTAGCTTCTATGGAGAAGGAGGTATGTTTTTTTAGAATATACTTGTTATCTTCTGGAACTTAGTTTTGAAGAAGAAAATTTACTATTCCTTATGGGTTATAAATGTTTTGCGACACCACTTCAAAAAATGTACTAACTATATGTTTCACCCGGCCATTAATTTTTAGTTTTTTTTTCTTTCTAAATTGTTATCATTTTTGCAACTTTTCATTTTTTATTCTATACCCAACCGTAACAGGGCAATCATATCTTAATTATTTAGCCATAAAGTAGCATTTTAACTATTCAAATTCAATAGATTATAACCAAAATTTAAATATATGACTTTTAGTTTTTAAATAAATAGTCATGACTATTTTAATTTTAGGATGTATAAACTTGTTTATTCTGTAGATTTTACCAAACCACCATGCCAACAAACACAGTATACAAAATAGGTAGGTGCAAAGATAAGATCACTTGTAATAATATTTTTAGAAATCCAACATCAAAATTTTACTTATTTTTTATCATTACTTTGTAGTTAAGCGGTTTAACTAGCCACACATTAAGTGTCTATTTGATATTTTCGAATAAGAATTAGAGAAATCAATATCTAAAACAAAAGGATAAAAACCACTAAATATCAATAAAATTTAGAGAAAAAATATAAAAACAAAGCCTATTAAAAGGTTTTACTAAGTAACAAAATAAAAAATTAAGTATACAAGATGCGGCTAAAATTTCAAGGACTGACCTAAAAATCTTTTAAAAAATTGTGAATACTCATTGGATAAGCTTCGAAATAACCTACACCTAATTTAATGCATTTCTGTAATCAGTTTTAAATGTTTTAGGAACAACTTTTAAAAGTCTTTTTCGAAATACTCCTCAATTCTGACGTTCTTTAACCTTGTTCCTTCAGTAAAATGTATCATTTCAGAAACAAATATTCCTCAAAAGATATGTTCAAAGACAATGGTAAACAAGGTTTAAGAATGTTGAAGACATTAAGAAAAGTTCAACAACAGAATTATAGGGGAATTTAAAAGTAGTATCTGAAGCTTTTATATTTAAGTACATTACGAAAGTTACTTCGACACTCCATAAATAGACATGTAATGCACAAAATATTTTTGGATTTATTAGATCAATTCTGGAAATTTATAACTGCATTTTGTAATAATAAATGTGATTACACAAAATAAATGTAATCTAAATAAAGTTAGTTAGAAACGTTTTCTATGTAAACAAGGTATTTAAAATCTTTTTAAAAGTGTACAGCTGATCTCTCTTCTAATAGAGGAAAAAAAAAACCTTTTGGAGAATAATATTTTTAAAAATTATAATGCCAATTTTACCTTTCAATTTCTTTCTGACCACTAGTATTTGTAATTGCTGCTAAATATCTCATAATTATCTTAGATGCCTCAGTTTTACCAGCACCACTTTCACCTGTAAAGGAAAAGAATTTAGGTAATGCAATGATATCAAAATGCTAAAAACTAGTTTGCAAAACTAGATACAAAAAAACTAGTTTGTAGTGATTCCTGACAAATATTTTTTACTTTAGTTTAGTAAAAAAACAGGTTTCTAACACAACTAATTTTTCAATTTTGATGGCCACAAATCCAATGTAATTTTCCAACCACTGACCACACCAATATTAAGCAGTTTTGGTATAGATAATGTCAAAAGAGGTTTTTATAGGCCTACGGGAGGAATAAGTACAACAAAAAATTGCTTTATTGTAGCAAATTTTGACTATTATGAGTTAGCTTTGAACAACAGCATCATACCAAATGACACTGAATACAATAAATCCCTTTTTTTTTTATTGGATGAAGCACTAAAAATGTGTTTTGCTAACTCATATAACGCATAGGAAGAGTAACAAACAACACATTTTTAAAAAATTGGAATTATTTTAAATTTATTAATTGTGAAATGTCTTTTAGTTCTATGCACAATTTAGTTTGTGTAGATAAATAACGATTTTTTAATTATTTACTTTTTTTTCTCATATGAATAACGTGTAGTAAGAGATGATGCAAAATGAAATTGTCTTACCCGATATAACGACACAAGTATCAAGGGAGTTTCTCTTCATAGATTTATAGGCAGCATCAGCTATAGCAAATATATGAGGTGGCCTTTCAAAAATTTCTCGGCCTTGGTAGTTATTAATATAATCCTGACCATAAATATTCATTGTTCTGTAAGGGTTGACAGAGACACATACTTCACCAATATATGTATAAATATGACCTGCATTGTACCTGTAAACAAAGATATTACTAACATTAATCTGAAGTATATAACAACTATCTATTTAACTAGAAAAAAATCATGTATATGTTAGTAATAATTATGTGCGAAGGAAATTTCTTTATTTATTACTAATTAACTTTCTATTAATGATATATATTCCAATAATTTCTTTATTTATTAATGACTCTAACTTATACCGGGAGAACTCAGTCTAAATTAGAGTTATTAAAAAGAAATTAGCATTTCTCTTTATACTTTTTAAAGAAATAATGTAAAAATACATCTAATTTTATTCAAAATGAATAAAAATTTATATTTTTTTCGTAAGAGGTCAGCATCATTGAAATAAAATAATTTCTGTCTGAGCAGTTTAACTTTTAATGGCTTGTATATTAATATAGAATGTTAATTTTAATAATTATAAAAGTAACTGCAGTAGTCCAAGGTAATAATTCAAGAAAAGTATCTATGCTGCTTCAAGAAATTGAATTTAGTTTATTATGATTTGGGTAAGTCCAAGTAGATTTTTAAAATGTTTTTATTTATTAAAACATGTTAATGGAAAAATATTTTGTAAAGAATAAAAAAAAAAAATTTCCTAATTTTTTTATATTTTACAATCGTTGTTGAACAGCCGACCAGATTTTGAGTTTATACTATTATTCAACTGCATAGCCTTGTAATTTTGAACCCAATCCAGAAGACAAGGGAACTACTGGATAAAGTATAGGGAGAAATGTGCCTTCAAGGAGGACTTTTTTGATGGAACTAAACCGTATTTGCTTTAATGGAGAGGAAGACCAAGCGAACTTCCCAAGGTTAGGCTGACGGCAAAGGGACTCGAACCCATGATCCGTCTGAGAGTATTTCACGTCAGCACTGTGGTCGGTGCAAGCCAGATGTGGATTTGTATCGACCAGCCATTGCTGGGATACGAACCCCGATCACTTCATTGGAAGGAGAACGCTCTATCCCCTGCGCCATCGCGGCCCAAGAATTTTAATTTTGTATGAATCCTATAATTTATTTAAATTTCTACAAATTACAATGGACTCAAACAAAATTTATAAAAATACATAAACAACGATTTTCGCACTTATAAAATACATCTTTTGTTGAAAAATTAAGAACTTTAAAAAAAAATAATAATAAAACGAAAATTTGTATTTGAACATCTGTGAAGGTTTTCTAAAAGATAACAACTTACAATAAACTTATATAAGCTACAGAATAAAATTTTAGTTATTTCCATAAGGAATATGAAATAATATAGTTTTTGCAAAAGAAAGGCGTCATTTCAAAGAAATGTTTTTAAAAAATTAATTAATTCTTGCCAATTTTTTTTATATAAATACGTATAAAAGGTCAACTTTAGTAACTTTTGAGTGCTAGGAGTGATCAAATCATTTTTGTATGGATTTCAGAAAATGATTGACATGTTATATGTATTTCTCATGTGATAAGTATTTCTATCCAATAGAGGTTACTAGAACGGGATTTTAGGAACGAAGACAAAATCCTTTTATTTTTGTTAACTTACATTAAAAAAAAAAATTCAAAGCCGTTGGGGAACATTAATGACTTAATAAACTTACTTTTTACATAAAACTTTTTAATTTAATAAAAAAGTTTTATTTTTACGAAAAAAATTTTTTATTTTTATTTTGAAACAAATATATAATCTATGACGATTTTATTATGGCGTGTACAAATTTATATTTTCTTAAAAATGATCATTAATGAAAGCTTATTTGTAAATTATTTTCATAAAAATTAGGATTTAAATTTATAATGTCGAATTTAAACTACAGCCAAATATATTGGAAAATATATATATTTTTTAAAGGCGGGCACTTGGGATGTATTGTCCCATTGGCCTCTAAATGCCAGAACTGCTACTCTCTTCTTGCGGGACCCAGTGGGCACCTCTTCCCAGTGGGTACCTGTGGCGAAGCCACGGCGGTGGAGCAGCGTCGTTCACGTCACACAACCACAAATCCGTTTATAGGACTGGTCACAATCACAGAAAGGACATAGAACACAGAGAAAAAGAAACATCCATGTCCTGAGCAGGATTCGAACCCGCAACCATCGGCTCCGCAGTCAGGCGCTCTAACCACTCGGCCACCTAGTTGGCATATCAGGAAATATAAAGCTAAATATATTTTTATTAACTATACAATTAAAGGCATCACCTCAGAAACTTTGATCCTTTTGCTGTGACTCATAATCAATAATTAAAAAAAATAAAAAAATTGAGATTTTTTGCCTCCCTATTTTTCAAAGAGAAGAAAGATTAAATTAAAATAAATAAATAATTAAAACCTTAATTATACACTGGTGTCATTCCCTTCTTAAAGAAATATAACCAAAAATGGGCTTAAAAAAGCACAGCATAACTCATAGTTCAATTCGATAATAAATTTTTAAATTTAAATGTACTTTTCATAAACAATTAAAGTTTTTATTATTTCCTTGCAACAGTTTTTTTCTTTCTCTTTCTTTCTTTAAGATGCCAATATTCCGTGATACCTATACGTAAACGAACAAAATGAATTATTTTAACGATACCAGAAGTTACAATTAATTAATTACAAAAAATAATAATAAATCTTGGAAGAAATTTCACTTTTCGAACAAAGGAAACGATTCATTGAAGTAAATAAATTCATAACTAACAGATAAAACTACGTATTTATTTAACCAGATTTTAATCAGGCAATTATAATTCGTTTAAACTGAAGTACGACTCACAAATTGAAACGGATATATGGGTCAATAGAATCGCTAACATTTATTCCCCGCCAAAACAAAACTGAAACCAGTTTAAAAAAGAAAAGTCAATTTCAGTCATTTTCGTGGTTAGTAAATCGAAATTAAAAATGTAGGTTACGTCAACGGGGAAAAAAAATACGTCATATATAAATTAAGAAAACTTATGACTCGGTTCTAGAAATAATTTTAAAAGTAAATTAAGTCTTGTTTAAAAGATTGTTTTTTTCAACAATGCCATTCGTTGCGCATTAAAAAGTTTTTTTTTTTTTTTTTTTTCAATTTATCGGTTTTTTGCACTTGGCTAATTAACGTCTTTTGAAAACTCCTTGCCGCTAACACAAATAAAACTAATTCAATTTAAATAATGGATAGTTCAAACAAATCAAAATAAACATGACCGAATCATCTTTGTGATAAGCGGATCTTTCTTAAAATGCTCCAAATTTTCTTCCATTTCAAATAAATAAAATCTTTACATTAATATTTTCTTATTAAGAATTTTAATTTATACTGTTATGTAACCCGATTAATTAAATAAATCTAACAGTGTTGTAACCCGATTAATTATATTTCTAAAAAAAAAAAGAAGAAAATTTTAGTCTCACTCGTTTTCTAGTAAAAACTTGGATTAAATTGCAATTTTTAGAAGTATTTAGAATATGTTTAACTGTTAATAAAACATAACACAATCAGCATAAATAAAATAATTGAATGAAAAAAAATTTGAAAAGTTTAATTTCTTAAAGGAACATACAATCAATTTTAGATTAATAAGTCATTCAGAGTTTAAGAAACCATGAAAAAGCATAAAGCTTTCCAATGGCTATCTGAGTAAGTTTTTCAAATAGCATCAACATTCCTGAAATGATGTAAGCATGTGTATCGTGACTCACATTACAAAAGAACATTGAGAGCCTTTACCTTGACTTTCGATTTCAGAAGAAAACATATTGAAAAAAAAATTTATCCCATTGTAAAATATACTTGATCTTACTCCATCTGTGACTTTTAAAAGATTTGGTTATGTCTAAAAAGTACATGCAATGAATGTGTTTACTATGATTCATAAATATGGAAATTCAGTTCTTTTTATTTGTATAGTAGGTGTTTTAATAAAAATGCATTTATACTATTCAGAGAAATGAAACGAAGTACTATCTCGATTATTTCAGCAATTATAACCGACATTAACATCAATGCTACAAAAGATTTCGCGTACGGAAATATGTATTGCTTTAAAAAAATTCAAAATCCTAGAAAATTGTCAAATATAAATCGAACACTGGATATTTGCGTCCCAAAGATTAAACTTGATTCCCTAATGTATACACAGATCCCAATTTTGCATGGGTTTTTGTTTTAAGGGTTCTTTAGGCGTTAGGGAATAACAATATGACTCAAAAAACTTGGCATTGGACTTCTGTTTGAGAGCACGCCAGTCAATCTCGTTTTAATTTAATTTCGAGAATTTAATTTTTTTTCTTCTGAATTTTGAGGTAAATACAAATATATATTTGCCATATTTTGAGTAATATATAGTAATGTTTGTTCTTATTAAGTAATAATTGTACCTATTTAGTATCAGATTTAGAAATTTTTTGTGTAGATTTTTGAGTATCAGAATTTTTTAGTATCAGATTTTGAAAATTTGTTTTGTGGGATATATTGTCCCAATCGTACTTACCATTGGGACAATATATCCCAATCGTACTTACCAGTGGGACAATATGTCCTATGAGTGATAAAAATATTATAAGACAAAATTTTAGTTTTTGTTTTGATTATTTTATAGCGGCAACTTCTGGTAAGACTAAATATTTGGATGAATCTATATTATTTTCATAATTTATTCCAATGCAATATATAGGTATTTTTACGATATTCAAGACTTAGAGCCGCAATGGCTCAGAGGTTAGAGCGTTCGCCTTTCAATGAGGTGAACCGGGTTCAAATCCCGTGATGGCTGGTTGATACGAATTCCGCACTCGGCTTGCACCGATTACAGTGTTGTCATAAAATATCCTCAGTGTTGACGGATCACGGCTTAGAGTCTCGTTGTCATCAGGCTGACCGTGGGAGTTTTTCATAGTTTTCCTTTAGATGTAACGCGATGGTTAATCCTTGACATTGTTCATATCAAAAAAAGTCCTCCACGAAGGCAAATTTCTCCCTAAACTTGATCCTGAAATTCTCTTGATTTCTGGATTGGGTTCGAGAATACAAGNAGAAAACA